ATCTGAACTAATTCATCTACTGTTCTAGTTTCTGCATATTTTGAAGAACTTAATTATGAAAGGCGATAACAAATGGGATGTATATATAACAATGAAGGAGAATCCTCACATTTCTGTTGGAAGAATTTTGTGAATAGTGACGCCGAAATAAGTATAATGATGGTGACAAAGCCGAGGCAAGAGTTGGACTCTTTGTCATTAAGTCGAATTTGCCCCGCAACGGTGCCTACGGATTTCGGCAATCGACTCCCAAGATACAACGGCTACACTTGTGTTTGTAGCACTCCAAAACACAAGTACAACGAACCAAATGTAGGCTTATGTACTCCAAAAATGAAATGAAAGAAAATCAAAATAAATGAAATGATTTTGATTTTGGATAGAAGAGAGGATGAGAGACGTTTTTGCATATCAAACTGTGAGGAATAGGACACCCAAAGGGTCCTATTTATAGACCATGAAAGGGTGTGGACGAAATGGTTGAGGCCAAACCATGCACCCTTTCCAAACAATGCACCTTTATGAAAAGGTGTCTATTCACTAATGGTTGAGGCCTTTTTCGTAATTTCTCATTCATCCGATGTTGGTTTTCGAAATGCCAAATATACCCTTCAATACATGCAGAGAAATCAAAATTCTCTTTCGGGGGCGTTGCCCCCGACCCCCCACGACTATGAGAATTTTTTGTACAAAAAAATGTCTATGTGAGGGTCCAAGTGCTGAAATTGAAATAATATGGATGATTGGCACAATGAAAGCGACTGAAAGTGACGTTTTGTACCAATTATTCATATTTGATAGAAGAAATTGTTGAATTCAGACCGAAAGGACCAACTCCACAAAAAAAAAGTTTAAAAAATGTCGAATTTGAAACAATGACAGTTTGCTCTATGAATGCAAATAATGGGAATATTTTGTGCTAATTACCTTTTTTTAATAAGTACATGCATCTTTAGCATTAAAAAAATGGATGATGTGTCTCGACATGAAGTTCTTACATAAGTCATTCCAACTTTTATGTCGACTTGAAATGTTGATTTGAAGAAAGCTAGGTATAACGGGGAGGATAGGAGCAATTATTCTCGTCCCCCACACCCCACTCCACCCCCTTGCTCATCCCTATCCCCAATTAAGGCGGTGTGGATCTAGGATGGAGGAGGGGTGGGAGCTTGCCCCATTTATTGCCCTCATTAATTAATTAATTAATTATTTTTTATTTTTTGTTTTTATTTTTTATTTTTTGTGGTTGGTGAAAATCATTATGTCTTTTCAAACGTAGAATAGTCCAAGTTTCCTTCTCAAAGTCTTATTATTATTATTATTATTATTATTATTATTATTATTATTATTATTATTATTATTTTGTGATTACAATCGTACTTCTTGAAATGGATTTTAAATGAGGACGGAATCATATTTCATGTACCTGCCCCACCCCTCCCCCCGCGCTAGACTGCGCAAGGAATCCCTGCACGTCTAGGTAGAAGCCCCGCGGGTATCAAATTAATGCGTTTTTTCCCATCCCTAAGTGAGCATTTTACTACAACCAAGCTTAACAATATAGTTTGGTCTGATTCTAGCTATAAAAATAAAAATTTTGGTACTTTTAATCTAAAACCATACAATTCGGTTGAGTTCTTTTTCTTAATATTCAATTCATTAGTTAGAGTATTAAGTTGTCCCTCGGAGCATAGTCCAATGGTGCAAAGGATAGGAGTGAGGTTATCTCACATCTTACTGGCAATCGCAGTGTGGGGGTTCGATACTTGAGACATGGAATTGGATTCCTTGTAGGCGCAGTATACAGGCAGCTCTTGTTCCCTGGCCTGCTGGAGCACATTCCACGATTTACCTCCCTCACAAAACTCTAAGGGTGGGGCGGTAGAGACCCTCAAGATTGGGGTTCAACCTTTATCAAGTTAGATAAAATTTCCAAATTCTTGATCTTGAATAGACTGTGTGCAGCATCATCTTGGAAAAAATAAATAAATAATAAAAAATTCCTTATCTAATAGTAGAGACTAGAGATTACATGCAAGCTGGAAGCAAATGTTAGATGCTTCAAAACGATATATAGAAGAAATGAACGAACAAAAAAACCTGTAAAATGAGGACAAGGAAAGGACACAACACTACCTCCATTGAACTAAGATGGTGGTGATAGAGCCACATCTATAATGCCCGAAGGTTTTCTCGCGTTATAAAGAAATGTGCAATCGTCTGAACTAATTCATCTACTGTTCTAGTTCTGCATATTTTGAAGAACTTAATTATGAAAGGCGATAACAAATGGGATGTATATATAACAATGAAGGAGAATCCTCACATTTCTCCCTTTACATCTTGTTTCCTCGTAAGAACAAAATTTGTGGGCATTCTTTAACTTTGACCTGACCGGGCAGGTCGATCCCCGTTTGTGCGCCCCGAAGCGACGAAGTGGCAAACAATTTTGCCTAAACGGATTGAGTCGATCTTTTGAGTATTTGGTCGAAATCGATACGAACTTTAATCGATTTTCAATTCTCGATTTATTTAACCAATATCCAACAATTTCTCCCTTTACAATATCTTGTTTCCTCGTAAGAACAAAATTTGTGGGCATTCTTTAACTTAGAGAGCGTAGGCCAAATCTCTTTCAATGTTTATATCTATCTTGACAGTCTAATCATGGGAATTAAAGACGTCATATTATAACAAACAGATAGGAATCGAGAAGAAAAGGAAGAATCGACTTAAAGAGATTCAAGAAGTAACAAATGAGGAGTTTCAGTTACCTGAGGAGGAGTTGATCCTTGGCTTCCCAGCACACCTTTGCTGCTTTTCAAGCTCTTTCAAAGCTTTCCAGTAATCACTTGCCCTGAAATTGTTACAAAGTGGATAACTCTTGGCAATGTTGCATATCATATCGAGTTGGTGCTTTTGTTTTAAAAAGCCTGAAAATGCTCTGCCTGGATCATTTTTACTTTGCGATAAAATGGGATTCGTGCTCCTATTACATAAGCTTTGAAAAAGCTGGCATAGCTGTTAGCCAATCCCCAAGAAGAGGATCCCAGAAGTAGGGGATTGAAGGTCGCAAAGTGAACCCTAGAAACCAAGATATAAGAAGTCAAGCATGAAAGCTAAGTGAAGTGACAAGAGGGTTAGGATGCGGTGCCAATTCATTCTTAACTTAAGAGGGCAGTGAGCTAGCCTTCGTTCCTCTTGGCAAGGGAGGATGATTACGTCTAGGCAAATTACCAAACACAAGATAGAATTCTGGATACAGATTTTATGGGTTTCGGATTCCTTTGTTACTTTTCTTTTTTCCTTTTTTTCTTTTTCGGAAAACAAGAACAATTAGTGGACTAGGACGTAAAGCAAAGCTCTCCAAAATCGAGAATATTGATTTCCTTCACCAAACCGTCATCAATCTCATCCTCCTAGTCAATTTTAGTGCCATCTTGCTCGAAATACTCCGACACTCTGATTCGCAACCCAACATCAGCATCTAGAGGCTAATTCAGATTCTCCTCCTCTACCAACATCTCTTGTCCTATTGGATCCTCGCCTCTCTTCCGCTCCCCGTCCCTGTCCTCTTCATCACTGCTGCAATTCGAATCAACATCGTTGTCGTTGTCAAGTTTATCTTTCATTACTTTATCAGGACATCCAAATTCTGCTGCTAGATTGATTCAAAAGTTCACTCAAGCAAATAACGCACAAAATTCTCAACTGCAAATGCTTCACTCTGATGACCACGCTTGCTAACTTGTTGGGGATCACAGTATGGAAATTCTGGAAGTCTTGAGGAAATTCACTTTTCTTGAGCTGAGTTCTTTTTGGCTTCAAACTATGACTCTGGCTAAAATTCTTGTTCGGTTTTGGCTCACAGTTCTTTGAAATGGAAACGTATCCAATCGTTATCCAGTGTATTTGGATATCACAGTCGATGGAAACAGGAAAGTTGAGAGGCAACAAGAATTTGTTGACAACATCGACAAAGAATGAACGACAAAATTATAAATTATCGCCGAAAGGAACAAGCTTCCTCAGCAACCTTCCGCAGTAAACTCACTGCTCAATATAAACAAATAGAACCTCTTGAAGTCCCTTCTTTCCGCTGTCCAAGAGACTGTATAAAGGAATGGAACCACGTAAATCATTGAAATCGGAGCTATTATATGAACTCCTTTCGCTAAACAGAGATACGGATGAAATAGTAGTAATTGTACATAAAATGAAGCTAAAATCTCATTACGCCATAGAGTTATCAGTAATTTAAGGAAAAAATTAATGCAACCCAGTTTAAGTATGTTATTAGATTCGGAATTTACAAGTAAACATTGACGAAAAATTAAACAGACGTTAAGTAGACAAAAAATCAAACACCTGGCATGCAACTAACGACGGAATCATAAATGATAGATCCTAACATGGGAAATCAAGATCATCAAAGTTTTCTTTGCATGCATACGTGTGTCCGTACATGCGAATTACGCACACAGATATATATACAGAGAGAAGGCTAAAGACGAGAAATTTACATTTAGAAATGGGCTTTCCAAAAAATACCAAAAAAGGCTCTATTTCCACAAATTTACTTTTAGATAAGATATTTTTTTTATGTTATAAAACACTTTAAATTACCAAAATAGGGGCTTTTCAGAAAATACCAAAAAATACTCTACTTCCACAAATATAGGAAGAATGGCATTTTAGGATTTTTCTTTTTTATTTTTTTTGTATTATTATATGTTTTTTCTTTTCTTTTTTTTTACTATTTTGCAGGGTGTCTATGTTGTCCAATTACTCGTAAATTTATGAGAAATAATTATTTCGAACTTTTTCTCACTTTATCTGAGTTAATACAAATTGTACATAATGAAGAAACGTTCCATTGACGTGGCTTCATACTTACAAAATAAAATTGCATTGATAAAAAATTAAAATAATTAAATAGCAAATATATCCTATTAATTAGTAGATGATGAATTTTTTTTTCTCCCCCCACAAAACATCAATAAACACATAAATGCTAAAATGCATTAAAATATTAAAAATTACAATTTTACCCTTGTTATTAACAAAACGACAGGCATCTGAATTACTAGTCAAAAAACCATGTAAAATGAAAAGTAAAACACCTAAGACTATAAAGAGTAACCTGCCATTATATCAAATGCCACATTATTTTACACCAAATTTTCCCCTCACATCAGAGACTTTAACGATCTGGCTTTAATCGGCTTCCGGGCTCTCTTCCTCCTGCTCCCGCATTCGCTGCTCTCCTCGTCTTCCTCCTCATACTCGATCTCATCCTCGATATCGGATTCTTCATTGTCAATTCGGGGCAATGAGGATTGTACCATTTCACGTTCTTGATCGACATTTTTAGGTACATCACGATTGCTGCTAATCTTATCGTTCTCGCCTCTTTTTTTGCCCCAGCGAGGCCCAAACCCCGAGTAATAGTAGAACTCGTATGGATTAGACGTTGAAGCAGCCTTCTTGGCCCGTGGATGCCTACGAGATTCAGCCACCACCCTATCCACTTTCTTGGCTGCCGGTGCAGCCCAGTTATTGTAATTCCGTACTAGAGATAAATGGTGCTCGCATAAGGAGTTCCCTTCTGCAGCCTTCCTCTTGCATTTCCATCCCTTCCCATCAGTTTTGCAGCAAAAAAAATTCTCCTTGTCTTTCTTTGTTACCCCTTCCTCCGCCTTGCCCATGGCGGCATCGCCCTTGATGCCACTATCGGAATAATCCCATTTCATATTCTCGATCTCCACGTCATCCGTAGACATTTTCATGAACGCAGCACTGCTAATAGAAATCCAATGGACAACATTGCAGTTCAGTTCAAATTTCAAAAAAATAAAAAATAAATAAATAAATTCAAAACTTTATTATCTGCAAATAGAAAAGTTCATAAAGGCCGATTGATTACAGAACCCTAAATGTCTTCAGTATCAATAAAGAGCTGAAAAACTTGTAAGCCAGTCCAAATTAAACATAGAATAAACAGATTACCTCTCAAAAGCTGTTATAGATTCTGTCAAGCTCCCATTTCTATCAAAATCGTCGTTTCCGTTTACCTGCATAAAAATTATTCTGTCTAAAAAATGGAACCACCCGAGCTATAATAAACCAAAACAGTGAAAACCCACAAAGTAATTCAAATTCCCAAGCCCAAATAAACAACAAAAATCCTTTGATTCGCATTTTCTAATCAACCCTAATGGTGGGTTTTAAGAAAACCCTAGAAGAAAAAAGAATAACAGCAAAAATGAAGGAACATTAGGCAAGAATCACAAATGGATTTTAACAGATCTGTCTATAGAACCAAAACGGAGTCAGTATAGACTAAATTTAACTAACCCGGAACGACGGCGGAGGCAGTGGTGATGGTAGCGAAAAACTCATAACATCCCAAGGTGACTGATTCAGCTGACAAACATGGGTCTGAAGCACGGTCCCTGATTTCAACGAAGATGAAGGGTATACCAATGGAGAAATCTTGGCGTGCTTCCGTATTCTCATGGCGGTTTTATGGCTATTTGGGGGGAGTCGGGGCAGAAAAACTGAAGGGTGGAGAGGCTTTGTGGTTTTGGGGTGGGTGGAGAGGGATGTATATATAAAGGTCATGTGGGGTAGATTGGGTGCCGTTAGCCACAATGAAAACTAGATCCAAAAGGCTTTTTCTTTATCTTAATTTTATTTTTTTTCTTCACTGAAGTTGAATATGTATATGTATTTGGATGTAGTTTTAACTTTAGTCGGATAGAAACAGAGAGAGTTATGGCCCACGGGGTAATGGGGCTCATTAGTTTGAGAAAAATCTGTAAGAGTTTTGCTAGAAATCACAGGCCACATATGCTAGGGACCCTACCTATAGAGAGGAACACATGTGTCCCTTGGAGATCCCGGGCCTATGTTTCCCGGGACAAGAGGCATTAGCCAATCTGTAAATAAGAAATGAACATAGGTGTGTGACCCACCCTACAATGAAGAAATATTTAAAAATTTTAATAAATTTTGATAAAATATTATGAAATGAATTTGAAAAATTGATAGAAGTCGTGAATTTTATGAAGAGCTTGTTTGGGAGTAATTTTGAGAATTGATTTTTTGACAGTCAGGAGAAAAGTGGGATCCACTTGTGAGAGAAGAAGTCAAATATAACGACTAAAATAGTGAAATAACGGTCAAAAAATCAATTTTTTTGGTAAAAAAATCAGGCCCAAACAGGCCCGAAATGTATTTTTCATATTAAAGTTTGACAAGTTGTAAAATTTTAAAGTTTTATCAAACAAGCACTTAATATCGATATTGTGTCTAACCTACTTCGATGATTATAAGAACCGTGTTAAGCCGTGCATATATTGAATTTGCATAACTTAAACATTGTGTGTGTGTGTGTGTATGTGGGGATGGCTTTTTCTTAAATGAGGCACGATCTCTCTTGAATCTTTTAATGTCATGATTAATTATAGAGGTTTTTACTAATTTCGTGTGGAACCCTGCTGTTTGGCCAATCTCAAAGCCAGGCCAAAAAAAAGGAAGCCAATTTTTTGGCATGACTTTTGAGCTTGGCCAAACAAGTTTGTCGAATTTCGTGTGTATTGTATCTCTGAAAACGTCACCATCAAGCTACCCAATGACCACATCGCTATCATGAGTAAATTCCATATATGATAATTATACTTTCACTCTATTTCAATTAAGTAATTGAAACTTTGATTATATTTAATAGGGTAATTATATATTAATTTAATTTCAATTATGTATCACCATTTTAATTCCGTCACTTGAACTGAGGGAATTGATTATATAGCAATCAAAAAATTAGTATCGTCATTTATTTCAATAAAATTATATTTATTTTACACCTCAACTAACGATTACGTGTCATAACTGATAACCATCGTTTATTGCTAGTGGAATTAGATGGATTTACCTTAATTGAAATCAAATTAAAGTGTAAGTATCCTATTGAAACCAAATTAAAGCATGGCTACCAAATTTAAAATAAATTAAAGAATACTATCTAATTAAACAAATTAAAATAAAGTTACAAGATTGAATTAGATTCTAAGTATAGTTACCGCACTAATACCACTATTTTGCTCGACAACATGAAGAATGTATGAAAGACGTTTTTGCAGAGTTTCATTTTTAGTCACACATATAAATAAATAAATAAATAAATAAATATAAATATATATATATATATATATATGTGTGTGTGTGTGTGTGTGTGTTATAAAAGTATTTTATACGTTTATTCTGTTTTATAAACTTTAATATATATTTGCAAATTGAGCAAATTTCTACTTAATTTAGTGTCTATATTGTCAACATAGGAAGAAATCAAATTTTATGTTACTTGGAGTAAAAACGAAGATTTTGAGCTTAATTGAAGTTGTAAAGCATATGAAGACTTACATGACGCACACGGGGTTGATGGGAAGAAAGATTAATCACGGTATGCAACCCACAATCAACCAGTGGTCACCTTGGATGGCTATTTGCCGCGATGTAATCGTGATATGAAAACAACAATTGATCTATTGTCCATCCGAGTCGTAATATTTTTTAGTTGTTGTTTAATCCGGGTGTTAGGTCCTCTATTTTTGTTAAAGAAGAAAAATATATAAGAGAATAAAGAATTGAAGGAGGGTTCTAGGCTTTGGCCGGAAGAATAAAGATTCATAGTGCAAGAAATTTATTTATTTTTACTCGTTTTGCCTTTAAATCGATGTGTATTGTAATTTTATTTTATTTTTATTTATCTTTCGTTATAATGAGCAATTAAATCATTTGTTGGAACGAATGATGTAATTTAGATCTAAACAATTAATTTCAATTCTCAAACTTTTGCATAGTTAATTGATTTATGTACTTATTATTATTTTTTTTTTAATGCTTGAATTACTTGATCATTAATTTATAATTTTTGAATTGTAACAAACCGAGACGTAAGCTATAAATCTAGACGTAGTAAAATTCTACAATTTTTTTAGCAAAAGATAGAGATACACTTTTACTATTTTTGCGGTCTTTATTTGAATTCCAAGGTATTTAATCCGTTTAGCTAAGACTTATTTAGATTCAAATAGAGATCCATGCAATCGACTTAACTAGATAAGATTGATTTGACCTTAAATTTATTTAAGGGAAAATTGTAGACGAGGTACAAAATCTTTCGTTTATTAGCAAACTTTGTCCAAATCTTTAGTTTGTGCCATCGTGAGTACCAAACTTTTCAAAAATATGCAGGTGAAGTCCAAAATGACGGTTTCTGTTAGTTTGACTGTTACTTGACCTAATAAATTGATTATGACCAATTTTATAAGGAGTAAAATTGTAACATTGAAATAAAATTAAAAAACAAAAACAAAAAATCAAAAGTCATTCACTGTTCAACTTCTCATAATTAAATAAAGAACAAAAATCAAACACATCGCCCACCACCATCCCCTTCTTCCCCAAACCCTTTATCCCAAAACCATCGGAGGTAATCGTTGGCGGCACTGCCACCTTACGTTGGCCACCACTCCATCTGGATAGTTCAGGCCACCACTCCTTCTATCAAAATCTCTGATCTACAATATAAATCTCACTCTCAATTTGAACAGGTAAATGAATTGAGCATAAAAGAAGCACTGTGCATTGGGTTATGAATCCGGTGCCTATGAGTTCACTTTAACTTAATCTGGACTTGCTTATTGCAATAAAGTTGTTGGGTTTGAATTCGGCGAGTCTTTCTCCTCTTCTTCTTGAATAGATAGTGGTGTTAATGGGTTATTGCTATGATGGTGGTGGTGGTCATGGTGGTGTTAGCGGGGTTTTGATTTTTCTATGGTTCTGGGCTGTAACAAAGAAATTTTTAAGGAATTTAATGAATAAGGAACTAACCTGTGAAGGACTCGAAAGAAGCTTTTTCTTGTTTTTGGAGGCCATATGAATGATGAACTTGCGTAGGTTTTCTATTGAAGTGTATGTAGAGATAGAAAGAGAAAGTGAAGTCAGAAAGAGAAACGGATAGGGTTTCAAAATTTTGGTGTGGCCATGGTTTATTGCAATCGAAGCTAAGGCAGTTTGTGTCGTTGCTCTGAATTGCAGTAATCACTATTCACAGTAATAAAGACAATGAAGGTGTAAACAATTACACACACCAACAATAAGTTTTTTAACCAAAATTAAAAGTTGAATGATGTTTTATTACAAATGGACGATGGCGGTTAGGGAGGCGACGGTCAGTGGGATGGATGGTGATTGCCAAGAAGTTGGATAGGTTTTGGTTTTTGGGCTTGCGTATGTATGGGGTGTGGGGGTGGGTGTAAGAAGGAGAAGGTGAACAGTGGCTTTGATTTTTTGTTTTCTTTTTTTTTTTCGTTTTTTAATTTTATTTCAATGTTACAATTTTACCCCTTGTAAAATTGGTCAAAATCAATTTATTGGGTCAATTAACGGTCAAACTAATAGAAACAATCATTTTGGACTTGAACTGCAAATTTTTAAAATGTTTGGTACTCACGATGGCACAAACTAAAAGTTTGGGCAAAGTCTGTTAATAAGCGAAATGTTTGGTACCTCGGTTGCAATTTTCTCTTTATTTAATTAGTAAATTTGATTCATATTTGTTATCATGTTTTAGTTCTGTTGGAAAAGAATTAACAAATGATTTTGTTTATAAATAGATAAAAATCAATGGTAAATAAATGAATAATATAAAACAATTTATAAATTTTGCCAATCGAAGACTTAGCCCTTGTTTGACAATCATTATTTTCAAACTCCTTTTTTCTTACATACTCGTTGTCAACCACACACTCACAAAATAAAATATTCGGTTCATGAACTAAAAACTGTACCCTACTTATTAACCAAATAATGATTGTCAGGAACTTAATTGCTCAATTATAAGGTCAACTTTCTTTAGTGTGCAATACCAAAGACTAGTGATGTATTAACGAGTGCATAGCATATAATCGATGTAACACTTGGTCCTAAAAGTAGTGAAAGAACTTCATTTGGGAAGTTTCTATAAACATTTTAAATTATATGAAAAAATTGAAAAGGAGAATTTGTAAGTGAATGGTACTTGTTCTCTATTATGTAATGTGTGAGGGAAAAATAATATTATTAGTTACAAATAATTTATAAACATTAGACAAAATAAGCCAAATATGCAAAGTTTTATGGAACCACGAGAAAGATAAACGTGCATAATAAAATAAATATTTATCATGTCTAGAGTTACGTGCCATCGAATAGTTATTTTATTTTTTATTTTCGTTAAGAGGAAGAAAAAATTACTATACTGTCATCCAACAAAAAGAAAAATATGCCATAAATCAGATCAAGCAGAATTTTAAAATTAAGAATAATTAAAATTTAATCTAGAATGTTTCAAATGTCTACAATATCGGTGTGTTTGATTACAAACATAAAATTTGTATAGAAAGAAAATAAATTTTAGGAATTGCCTAGAATTTATTTGTATGAAAATTATTAATTAAATGTATTTGATTGATTTAGTTTTCAATCTAAAAAATATTATACTTGTCCATTTTTTATTGGTGAGTAGATAAGATAAGAGAGAATGGATAAAAGAGAGAAAGTGAGTGAATTCCCTGAAAAATAAAATTTTACTCT